GAGACAGAGTCTTGCTTTGTCACCAGGCTGGAGTGCAGTGGCACAATTTGGGCTCACTGCAACCACCGCCTCCCGAGTTCAAGCAATTCTCCTGTCTCAGCCTCCCAAGTAGCTGCGACTACAGGCACATGCCACTATGCCCAGTTAATTTTTGTATTTTTTTAGTGGAGACGGGGTTTCACTATGTTGGCCAGGATGGTCTCGATCTCTTGACCTCGTGATCCGCCCACCTAGGCCTCCCAAAGTGCTGGGATTACAGGCGTGAGCCACTGCGCCCGGCCTACCTATATTTTCTACAAAAATTTCCAACAGCTTTTTGTCTCCAATTAAGTGAATATAGAAACATTCTAATTTTTATAGGCCCTCAAAATCCCCACCATTTTCAAACCTCCCCCACCTCACTCACAACACAAAAGAAAAAAAAAAAATACTAGCAAAAACTTAGTTTAGAGGCCAAACACTGCCACTCATGCCTGTAATCCCAGCATTGGGAGTCTGAGGCGGGCAGATTGCTTGAGCCCAGGAATTCGAGACCAGCCTGGGTAACATTGCAAAACCCAGTCTCTACAAACAAACAAAAAAAAAAAAAAAAAAAGAGGGCTTAGAAGTTTGATAAATTTCAAATTTGCTTAACATTTTTGTGATTCAGAACTAGCATCAGTTACCTCTAATTATATTTTTACTTACTGCTACTATTTTATCATTAATATTTAATGTGCTAGGACATAACAAAATCTTTCCTTTGGTTGGTATTTAGTTACTACACGCAGCCACAGAATGAATCTGCTATGTGACACCTCAGAGACATGGATCACATGTCTCAGTCCCACACAACATTTACAGTCACACAGGGGAGCCCTCACCCACATTTGTACTCGCATAAGTGCACTGTTTTCCAGCCTCCTTCTCAAACTGTCCCTGCCCCCAACCCTCAAATGTATCCTCTCCATCTCGCCAGTATTCTTGCAGGTAACTAGAAAAACTGCAAGGTCAGCTCTGACCTTGGCTCAGATACAAAAGTTGGGGAATACATCACTCACACTGAATTTGGAAAGAAGCTTGCTGAGTGAGAAAACTCTAGCTTCAGCCTCCCAATTCATCATTCACAATTCACAGCGGGGCACAGGGCTACACTTTCTGCAGGGGAACTGTGACCTCAAATTGCAAGGGACCATAGTTGTCAAGACACGGAAACTCCTTTCCCCCTACTCAGCTCCACGGAGAAAACCCAGTCTTGTTTTAATAAAAAAATATGAAGATGAAGAAAATCTGTGAAAGCTCAGGCTACATACTCTTCCAAGTCATCGTATATAAGGTTAGTTGTCACAGTCTTCAGCTGGTGTTTATGTGGTACAAGTGGAGTCATCCTCCCCAAATATCAGCCTCTGTTTTTAGATTTAATCAAGGATGAAGACAGAAAGTAGTAATAAAAATAATTAACAATAACACGGGCTGGGCGAGGTGGCTCACACCTATAATCCCAACACTTTGGGAGGCCAAGGCAGGCAGATCACTTGAGGTCAGGAATTCGAGACCAGCCTGATCAACATGGAGAAACCTCATCTCTACTAAAAATACAAAATTAGCCAGGCATGGTGGCACATGCCTGTAATCTCAGCTACTGGGGAGGTTGAGGCAGGATAATTGATTGAACCCAGGAGGTGGAGGTTGTGGTGAGCTGAGATCGCACCATTACACTCCAGCCTGGGTAACAAGAGCGAAACTCCATCTCAAAGAATAAATAATAATAAAATCACCAATACTGAGTATTTCCTTTTTGCCGGGGACTATGCTAAGCCCTTTTTAAGCAATATGGCATCGTCACAAACTCTTGAGTCAGACCGCTCTGTTTGAATGAGAGAAACACCCTTGCAATAGCTAAGTCACCTTAGGCAGGTTATTTAACCTGTGTCTTAGTTTCCTCACCTGAAAACGGGGATAATAATAGCACCCATAGAATCATTATGCAAATTAAATGAGTAAATATATGTAAAGTGCTTAGAACAGTGGTTGGGCACATTACCATATAAATGGAGGATGCCCAATGAGGTTTGAATTACTGATAAACAACATTTTAGAATATGTAGCAAATATTGCATGGGACATACACCAAAAGCAGTCATTGCATATCTGCAATTCAAATTTCACTGAGCATCCTGTACGTACGTATGTATGTATGTATTTAGCTAAATCTGTGAACTATAATTCCATCTGAAACTCTTGAGGCTAGATATGTTTCAGGCCTCATAGATTTTTCAGATTTTAGAAAAGAAATACATTGCATATAACCACAAATCACGTAATATTTCAGCAATAGCTAGGGGGCAGGCCTGAAGCAAGTGCATTAATAGCTCTATAGGGAAACATATGCATATTATTCTTTTAAGTAGGATAAACTAAGTCTGAAGCAGCCTCCCATGAGTTAAGATCCAATTTCACCCTCAAAGAAATTGAGATCAGG